TCACGGGAGGGAAAATGGCCACGTATCCTGTTCGTACCCCGAGGCGGAGTTCACAAACCGAAGTAAAATTTTGCAGCCGGAGCTGCTCGTAACCCAAAAAGTTCGTTAATAGAAGCGTTCGTAACCCGAGGTTCCACTGTATTTCATATGTTGAGTGAATACATAAAACGGCTTAGCTGGATTTACAGTGATTCTCCTGTGGCTACTTGATTGCACAAGCTGGTCCTTACATAGCTCCCCTGCTAAAGGCACTGATCATTATAGGATTTGCTTTGATCATTAATGTAACTATTATCAGGAATTTTTTATATAGTTCTCTATCAACACTACTTCACCTTCTTTATGGTCAGCTGAAGCTAGACAAAAAGAATGATAATTTATTGAAAACAAATGGCATTTATCAAAGGCTACACGTTGGTACCAATGCAAATCTGATAGATAGATAGATAGATAGATAGATAGATAGATAGATAGATAGATAGATAGATAGATAGATAGATAGATAAAGTTTTATTCCTATTTTTGGATCTTCCCTGACATCTTTCTCAAATGCAGATATATACAGTGGATGAATGACAAACCATCCTAACTTTGTGTTTGTATATTTTCTAGAACTGCACATTTTAAATCTGGCTAAAGAAATGCATTGCAGTCATGGTAAGAGAGAAAGCTGAATCATCAACATATTATTTTAAAAAAAATAATCCATTTAAAGAGTTACTATACACAACCTCAAAAAAGCTTATCATGGAGCTGTTCATGTTATGGAGCTTTTTTAATATCTAAAAAAAATCCATTAAATTTTGTACGGTTTATTTTAAGTGCCTTACAGAAGGAACTGTGTAATTGAATGCTATTAGAAATATGCAGCTGAGCCACTGATTTAATGCACATAAGCATTTTTTTTTTAAATGGTTGCTCTTTTTTCCCTATAAAACAGATAAAGAGACACTACCTCATATCAGGCAGATCATCACCAGCCCACCTTTGGACTTAAATCCTAATTTTGACCCCAGGATCAAAGAATACTGCTCTGAAGTGCCTTTTGATCTTTTGACAATCAAGATTAGAGTAGAACCCATGAATTGTCAAGGTGAAGCTCACTTGGATGAGAGAAAAGGACCAAGGTAATTGGAATGGTGGGTGGTTATTCTTGGGATGTACAACACAAATCCTTAAATTCTGCTTTACCAGAAAAATTTCAACATGTTATCATTTAAAATGCCACTACTAATTAGTAGTTGCAAGCTTTGGAAGACCAGTTTTCCTATATCAGTGCTGGTTATGACAGCCTACAAAATTTCTACGAGAACCTATTGATGTATAGTGCCCTTTTAAGAGACTATCTTGCATCTTCTTCATTTACTTGGCTGTAATGTGAACATGTACATCATGAACGTTCATAAGAGAAAGTGGAGCAACCATCTGTATCCCTATGCATATCTAAACTCTGTACAGGCAGTTCTGTATTTATAACCATGAAATGAGCAGGACCCAGATTCCTGTATTTGGGTACAGAGCCTTTCAAAACATATTTGTAGCCCTTGTGCAGTTTGCTGTGTGATGCATAGATTAGACTTGTGCAAAGCTTCAACAAAGGTTCATGCAAAGCAGCCCTTTGACAGTGCTTCACAAGCAGCACAACCTGTTCCTCCCCTGCTAAAGCACAGCCATTGCACTCTTTCACTTCTTCCTTCCAAGGCCTCATCCAACAAGTCCATTCAATGAAAAAGGCTTCTACACCTGCATTGTCTCTGCGGTAAACTGCTATCCTCAATCCCTAAGGAGTGCTCTGTGAAAGGAAGATAAACACCTAGCATTAAACAACAAGGAACTGTTTTCTTTATTGTCTCATTTGCCAAATTTGTTTGAGATGCAGAAGCATTAACTCTTTGCACCATATATCCTATTGACTGCTAAGGGCATGAAGAATAGAGTTCCTCTCTTCATTTTTTCTTCTTCTTTTGCCTCTGCAATGTTTTCTTCTACATGGAAGACTTAGACTCTCCCATTCTGCCTACAGTACTTTCTGCAGAAAGGATATCATACTTACTTCTCCTTTCCCCCACCATTGGGACAGAAAGTTTAGAGGCACAGGGTTTCTGTTAGGGCAAGTAATTGATGGAAGTGGAAGTCCAACTGATCCTGAGTACAGCTTTTGTCTACTATAGTTAGATAAAATGGTGGAGCACCCAAACATGAATGTTATGAGCACACTGGAACAATAAATAGAAGGAGAGGGTACAGATTATAGTTCTATTCAGATATTTTGTCTGAATAGATAGTTGAATATTATTAAGAGGGACAGAGTCATGCATGCTTGCTCTGCCCAAAACATGTTTCAGTTTCTCCATGCTTAGCAAGGAAGTCTGCAATTGAGAACCCTGATAAAGCACAGATTCCAACTGTTTGGAAGTTTCTACTCCTTCAACTGGATGCAAGTAGAAGAACTGTGCAGCTATCACAAGTCTATGACAGAGCGATGGAGATCTGTACAGGACTTGGAGGGTGCTTCTGATATGCATCTCTCTTCCTGCACTTCATATACCTTTTTCCAATGAGCACATGGAGCTTGGCATGGTAATTACTGTATGCGTTAAGACATTTGGAAATATCAGTAAGAACAGAAAGGTAACAGAAAGTTAATACTGTATATCATCCCAAAGAGTTTGTTATTTCCTTTATAGATGTAAAATAAACTTTTTTTTAACTTAATATGATATGTATAAAATGAACTGATTATTTATTTCACTAATGTTTTATTGTTCTTGCATTCTCCTTCTATTCTAACAGCTCTGCACATTACCCACTTGGATTAGGTATAAACAGAGTAATTATTCTGATAACAGACAAGTCTCATTCGCTCCATGAGATTGTGAGCATCTACAAAATCATCATTTTTCGTGAAGACCGTCCAAGCTTGCCATTATTTGATGACTTCATGCTGTGTGGTTTTGTACAGGTACTTTCTAAATACAGTTAGCAAACAAATGTTTTATCCGTGCACCATGTCATTTATTCATCAACAGTGAAGGAAATCAATTGTTCTGTGGGTGTTCAATACCTCCTCTATTATGTTTTTACTTGCCTCTGTTAGTTTAGTCAGTCCAGACTTTCTACTCTTGCAGGATCTTGTGGAGGTGACTGTTTGCTCGAAGGGTTCATGGATTCCTAGTGGAGTACATGCTTTGCAGTTAGAATGTCCTTGGTTCAAATCATGGTATCTGAAAAGTAGAAGGGAAAATCCAGGAAGTCATTACAGGACTAGGTATATCAATAGTTTAACTCTGAACAAGAATAGTTTTTAATCTTCCTTAACTCCCACGAATTTGACCCCTTAGCAAATTACAAAAAAGTATTCCTAGCTATTTGCATTGTATAAGTGATCTTTAGGTTGAAAGGGTGATTTTGCAGTTGAATTGTTGAAAAGATGACTTTACTTTATTCTTTATAAATGTTTATGTTAAGGAAGGTGTTTTAGGATGAAAGCTACTAAATAAGAATGTGTGGGTGGATTGAACCAATAGGATCAGTACAGACCAGAATGGAGACTGGTCCTACCTGCTTGGCAACTGATTAGCTCCCAGGCTTTATTGCCTATGGCAGCCCTAAGCAACCTATTCCATGTTACTGATGCATGCCAGAGCTAGGCCTCCTTCGCTGGGTTCTCCATTCACTGCTAGGATTGGCCACACACATGACCTAAGGAGACGGGCTTGCCTTTGAACACCGGTCAAGTAACTTTAACTGTGCCACTATTTCTATGTCCCACATGGAATTTGGGGGTTGCATTTCTTCAAAGTGAAGCTCCCATGTCACAGTGTAAACTAGTTTGAAAAAGAAGAATTCCCAAAAGAACGTGTGATATGGGCTTTCTGTTTGAAGGGTGGGTGGGGAGTTAAAAAGAAAAATCCACAGGGCAAGTCTCAGCATTTGGGGTCACCTGTGCTAGCTCCCCAGCCGGTATTTTCTGTTAATGCAAAATCCTTTCAAAGACCAGCTGACCCATTTATAACATATTCAAAGGTGGATTTTATTTTATTTTTTTAATTTCAAATAGGAATTTGCAAAGGCAATCTGTATTTTTTTAAAAAATCTTCATAGACTGAATTTTGTGGCGAGAGTATTTTCTTTTTCTCCTTTGTACTGGAGTACATTACTGCTGCTGGCTGAGTTTGCCTGTGCCAGAGATCAGAGACGTCCATGTTTTTTTTTTCTTTTTAGTAACCAGACACCTGTTCTAGGAGCCAAAGGATAAACAGAGCAAACGGCCAGAGATCTTCTTTAGACACTTGATTAGGCACAACTGGACTCGTGCATTGGAAAGAAAAGGTCAAAGACAGTGGTGTGGTCTTTCTCACAGTGGGGTTTCAGTTGAAAGTCCAATCCTGAGACTCTTTTCTTTCATGTCTAATCCTGTTAGGATATTCAAGTTTCAGTGCAAGCTGATATCATGATGAAGGTTACAATACAAAGAGAGAACTGGGTATGTTGTTTCCAGACTGCCAATAATTCTCATGTGTTTGAATAACCCTGGATTAAATTCAAGGCTACTCAGTAAAGTAGTGTGCAATCCCAAAGCTGTGCAACTCCTAAAAGTACAAAACTATTGTTATTTCACTTATTCAATAGTGGCTGTAATATCTTCATTAAAAGCAAATTAGTCAGGGATAAAGGCGTGAGCCATGATGGCATCTTAAGAAGCTAAAATTTCCATTGTTTGCATTATAGCATAGAATAAGAGTACTTTTCCTGTTAATGAAGAGGTTATGGATTTAGGTTTGATTGATGTTAGTTTGATTGTATTTAAAATTCACCTTCTAGCCTCAATAAGAAAGAAAAGATGCAATTATAACTTAGGTTCAATACCTGTAGAATCATATTCCAAATAACATAACATGCAATACTAGAATAAACAGGTTTAATAGACTTGTCACTTCAGATCCCTTAGGTATGAGAAAAATGAAATTATTTTCAACACATTACTCTCAAATAACTAACAGTTATCCTGAATTGTGTGACACCCATAAAATAAAGTTAAGCAATAATAAGTTTCATTTCAGATTGTTTTTCTGTAGCAGAGTAACAAAATAGTCTGTAGGTCAAGGAAAATCAGAAACCCAAGATTCTTTACCACAACATGAAAAGCAATATACCATTATATGGAATTTAAATATAAAGTGGAAAATACATTTTAGGAAAATGTATTGAAGATGTTAAATCGTCAGCAATGTAATTCCGTTTCTAGAAAATATGTAGCTTTACAACAGTGGTGTAATGTTTAATTGATTAACTGAACAAAGCAATGCACTGAAGATTTTCACTCCTTCTACCTCATCAGGCATTATTTTATTGTCCCATAATTTGTTTCTCTATTCTCCCTTTGAAATTGACATAATTTCTCTTATTGATTCAAGCTGGAAGTAGGAGAATGCAATGAGGCCATGGCTCTGTCTGTGGAAAAGGAAAAGGTTGGCTCAGCCGATTAAAAGCATCAGGAATTCACAAAAAGCACTTCTGATCATGTTACAGACAAATCTGTCATAGCCTTGATCTAGGCGGCCTGAGCCTGCCCCTCAGAAATATTAATTTGATTTGTCTGGAGATTTATGAAAAAGATGAACAATTAATTAATTGCAGTTAATTCTATTATCCAACAAGATTTTTTCATTGAGTGACAGTCTATATGACAGAACTAAGATGAAGAACCTAACATGGAACGAACTTGAACAGTCACCCATGCCCTTATCCCCTCGAGGCTGGATTATTGAAATGCATTGTGCATGGTGCTGCCTTTGAAGACTACCAGAAGTTGCAATTGGTACAAAATGTATCATTCCCTTCACTGGTGTGTGAGAAGTGCTGGAATGCCAGTGTTACTCCTCAGAAGGCTTCTGAGTACAATTCAGTGTGCTAGTTATCAGTTATAAAGTCCTGCATGCATGATATCTAGATACTTTCAGGACTGCTCCTTCAAATACAACTGATCTGTCCAGTACATGTGCCCAAATTAGGGATGCTGAGAGATTGCCTTCTGTATGAAATTTGAGAAGGAGGGTCTAGGAAACCTTCATTTTTCTGAATATACTCCCTTCTTATGGATTAGTCTATCTCCAGAGACTCATATGGCCCCTTCTCAAATGGTCTTCCAGTGGACGTTCAAATGGAACTGTTCTGAAACACAATTTATTCATTTATTTGATTGATTGATTGACTGATTGATTGATATCCAGCCAGCTAGGGAATGCTCATTGGATTGATCTCCAGTCAGGTCCAGCAGGGCATTTTCAGTTATTGGGTATCTTTCACTAGCTTGGTAATAAGGTGGCTTTCCCAAAGAAAATAAGACAATCAGTGGCACATTTTTTTCAAGACGACATCATTATATTAAGGGATTTGAAATGAAGAAAGCAACAAAAGAAAGCAAATAAGGCAGAGATAGGGCATCACTAGTTTTTATTAGGCTGTGTTAATTGCCTCTTCAAAACTATTCCTTTCAGTCAAATGGTGCTGCTTATTTTACAGATGCTCTTGTGGGTTAAACAAATAGACCAAGCGAAGCAATATCCTATCTCCAAAGAGCAGACATAAATCCAATAGAATAGCACAAAATCTATTTAATGAAATGTGCAAATTGCATTGGTAGAGAAATATCCAGGATTAAATAATTAATCTGAAGTGATCAGGAAACTTTTCTTTTTTTTTCCTCATTCATTCTTTCAAACATTGTTATTTATATAGACAGCTTATTTTTTTCAATTTATCCTTGTAAATTTTTACTGGTTTTGCTGTAATCATCTCCTAGTGCTTTAAGACTTCAGCTACATCAGAGGTTTTAATGAATCACAAATGAATGAAATGACATCAGCCAGTTATTTTCATTAAGGTGTAGAAGACTGAGAAAAGATTAACTCTGTGTGCCATTTAGCCCATTTAAATTCTCCTTAAGCCTCTTCCCTACTTTTAGTATGTCTTTTAGCTTTTGCTATTTTTTTTTAAATAGAGATCAGGTGCTCATAATTAGGTATGATCTCACTCTGCATTATCCAAATGATGTCAGGGAAGTTGCTTGTAGGCTACAGTTCAAATATTTTTCATAAATACCCTGCCCTAATTTTCCTGAACACCTCACTTCCTTTAGTAAATGTACTAATGACCGTTCTACAGCACCTAATGAGTCTCAGGGAAGTAGAAATAATGTGGTCTTTGAGCTGACTGTTTTATTTCTTATGGTGCTTCCTAAATTTTCAGTATCTGCTTCTCTATTCCTGGAAAAAAGGAGCTCAAAAGGCACAAAAACAATAAATATAAAGTAGGCAGGAAAAAAAAATGTTTAAATGGCAGTTGAGGTGAGGAATCATTGCTTGTTATCTTTGGTAGATTGTTATGGATATGAAAGTGTGGGCATTTGTAGTTAATCTTGCAATGATGAAAAACAAAAAGGGCAGCACACTGATGATAAATAAATAAAGGAAATAAAACTTTACTTCAAGTACCTTGGATGCCATATAACCATTCATGGTAACACCAAGCACAAAACAGATAGAACCAAAATGTTCTCCACTGAACCTCCGCAAGTGAAAAATTATGTCACATCATACTTGCTGGAGTTGATGGGAATCAAAGTGCCACAATGCCTAAAGACTCTCTGATCTTGACTTTGTAGAATGAGACATGGGAATAGCAAAATAATTTATAAGCTATTTATACTACATGGAAAAGAGCTCTGCATTACACTGGTTGAAACTATAGTAACAGGGATAGAACAATGCTTTAACCTTGATTGAGCTCATCATGTGAACGATGGCCTTGCCAGCTATGGCCATGTATGCAAAGACAGCATGGCAGGGCACATAATTTTCAGACACTTGCATTTACATACAGTATATTGGTTAGGGCTACCATGACTTTAGTTTTCCCAAAATCTTTGCTATCATCTACTGGTTGTCAAGATTCTTGCAG